TCGTGTATGGCAAAAGCCCCACAGTTCATAAAGAAATGTTGAACAACTCCAAAATATAGTAGACACTTTCCTAGACACAGAGGAGAGAGAGAGGGAGGAGCATTTTAGAGACCAGTGAGGGCTAGCTCTGCCTTTGTGTTTCTGCTGCTCTGACGTTAGAAAGGAGAAATAGGTAAGAAAGGGGAAGCTATAGAGCAATGCTTTAGATTAGAGCTACTCTCTCTCTCTCTGTGTGTGTGTGTGTGTGTGTGTGTGTGTGTGTGTGTGTGTGTGTAGAATCCCTAGATGGTACTGGCCAAGTTTGTTTCAACTGGAGAGAGAAGAGCCCAGGCCATGTTTTCTGATCCAACTCAAAATGACCGGTTGGACTCATAGCGAGTAGCCTGGTCAAACTGTGACTACTTTGAAGAAGATGTTCAACGGGACAGTAGACCCTCATTTATCTCTCCCCTGCTGTCCTCTCCAGCCAAGTGGGTGGGCAGGGTTTAAAAGTCAGCAAGCAATTTCTAGAAAACAGAATGAATGGTGCATAACAAGATCATTGCATCAAATGTGCTGACTGATGAAAGACAGATTCCATTTGCCACGTTTCTTTTATTATCAGGACTCATGTTGGAAAAGCAAATGTGGATGCTGGGCCAGCGATTAAATAGTGCCACACCACCATTGAAGGCACAGATCTGCCCCCACCACCCACATCCAGCACGATTGACTGTCACTTTTCAGTGGTGACTGGTTTATTGACGGCTAATGCTTTAAAAATGAGATTAAATCAGGTCTATGATCTTTACGACATGGAAGATGTATGCCTCTTGTGCATTCTGGGAGTTTGGCAATCTTAATCTCAGCAGACATAACATTGATGTACGCAGTATTGCCAAACAGCCTGGTAAGCGTTTAAAATGCTGTGAAAGGTCTTATTACCTGGAAATGATGCTATCTAATATTAGATTGTAACTCAATGACTGAATCTGTGAGCCTATCCTTGTCCGGAATATTAACACCAAAGGCACTTAATTTTAATATCTCAGGGGGAAGGAGTCATTCTTCATCTCCTCTATTGAAACAGAGAGCACATAAATATGAATCTAGATTTCAGGAAACCTGACGCAGCCTATCGTGGCATAGAGCATATGCATCTGCCTCTTGGAACAGAGCGTTAACATTGCCAGCCCACTTCCTTCAATTCTGCACGTCCACCTGGTATTGTGCAAGGCTGACTGGTGGAATCCAAGAGTCCAAGATTCTCGAAGGAGAGAAAAATCCAACTGCACTCTTTCCACTCTTGGGCATTCTGGGAAAACAGCTTTAGCCTAATACTCAGCACGTGTTCTTTATAATCCATCATAATTAACATTGACTTTCTGTCCTCTCTACACTTTATGCTCCTCAATCAAATCATAGACACCCATCACTCAAAAGACCCAGGTGGTTGATCACCACGGCCTTCCATGATCAAGATTCCACCTTACTTATCTCCAGAGTAGATGGTGTTTTCAGCATTCTCACTCTAATTAGCTATTGTAAACATGTACAGACACACTGAGACATAAATGGACCAGCAACCCAGTTTTCTTAAGACTGAAGATTTTTAAAATTTTAATTTTGGACACTTATTTTCAAGTGCCAAAAACAGGTCCAAATACTCAAACCCACTGCCATCGAATTGCTCCAACACATTGAGAGCCTATACAAGGTGTTCCAGACTGTAAATCTTCCAAGAGCAAATCATGTCCCCGTGCCCTGTTAAGCAGCTGATGTGTTTGAACCATCCACATTGCAGTTAGCAGTTTAATACCTAACTCACAAAGCCCCCAAGGGCTCCCCAAACCAGGTCAGTTTGATTCATCACTCTTCTGCTAGATGAAGATCCTACCCACCAGAGAGTTATAACTCTGCAAGATCTGGTTTAAATAAATGTATAAAACCAATTCTAGTGAGGAAAAATGTTTAAAAAAATGGCATGCATGTGGATTTGGGCACTGACTTCATGTCTATGTGTCCCAATTCTTTACAGGGATGCCTGACAAAAATCAGCACCTTCTGATGTTAAGGTCTTGACACCCGCCCTGGAGAGTACTGCCAGGGCAACAAGGTACGAATAAGAAATAAAATGTGTCCAGATTGGAAAAGAAAGAAAATTATCCTTATTCAGAGATAGATGCTCTTTTGTATAAGCTCCCAAAATTTCACACACGGACAAAAAACTACAACTAATTAAAAACAAATTAGCAAGCTTGCATGTTACAAACAAGGTCAACAAACCAAAATCAACTGATTTTGTGGACACCAGAAACAAACAATGTGAAATTAAAGTAAATAATTACATTTACAAAAGCATCTAAGAAATAAAATATCTAAAACGACATACACCCAGTAAAAGTAAATATTTGACCCCAAAAAAAACTTAGCAGAGACATGAAGGGCTTATTGAATAAAAATTATAAAATACTGCTGCAAGATTAAATAAAAAAGAATAAATAGATGGAATATTGGAGTGGAAGACAGTATTGTTAAGATGTCAATTCTATCCAAAGCAATGTACAGATTAGAGGCAATCCCAATCAAAATTCCAACAGCCTTAATTACAGAAATAGTAAAATGTATTCTCAACTTTATGTGGAATGGCAAGTGGCACTGAGTAGTTAAAGCAATATGAAATATAAGAATACATTAAGGGCCTCACACTTTCTGCTTTCAAAACATTTTCTAAAACTACAATAATCAAAACCACCTGGTATTGGAATGACAATAAAAACATAACCAGTGGAATAGAATTAAGTGTCCAGAACTAAACCCACATATTTTCAGTCAACTGATATTGTACAAGGCTTCGAAGTTCATTCGATGGAGAAAGGAGAATTTTGCCAATAAATGTTATTGGGAAAGTTAAATTTCTACAGTCACATAATCAAACAGGTCCCATGCACGACATCATACACCAAAATAAACTCAAGATAGACTAAGATCATAAAGTTTTAAGATACAACATACAATTCTAGAAGATTACGTAGGGCAACTTTGTGAGGCCTGATTCAAAGGGCTACCAAACACATGGAAAAATGCCTAGCATTTTAGCCAACAGAGATATACAAATCAAAACCAAGTGAGATACCACTCCATTTCCATTAGGATCCATAAGATTAAAAACAAAATGAAACAAACAGAAAGTAACACATGTTGGCAAAGATTTAGGGGAATTAAAATCATTGCCCTTGCTAGTAGGAATGCAAAGCAGGTGATGGTTCCTCTTAAAACTGAAAATAGAAAGTACCATTGGGCCCAGCAAGTCAGCTCCTAGATTGACAGTTAAAATTACTGAAAGCAGAGACTCAGAGATTCGTACACACGCGTTCATTGCATCACTCTTCACAGTTGTGGAAAACAATAACTTCAAACAATAACTTCAGCACAATAACTTCAAAAAAAAGAAGTAGTGTATGCATAAAGGAGAGCATTACCTAGTCCACAGAATGCTGCACTATAAACGAAGATGAAATACACTGCCCTCAATGAAACAGATTCATCTCAAATGGACCATATTCATAAAAAGACAAGCAAATGCAATGGTGGAGAGAAAACCCACTGCCATCTAGTCGATTCTGACTCCGAGTGATCCCACATGGCCGAGGAGAAGTGTTCCCTTGGGTTTTCTGAGGATATGAATCTTTATAGGCCAAGAGAGCCTCCATCTTTCTCTTGTGGAGCAGCTGGTGGGGTTGAACTACTGAACTTGGGGTTAGTGGTACAATACATAACCAATTATACCACCAGAGCTCCTTAATGTATAGAATCAATGTATAGATTGTATAAAGTTTAGAATCTAATATATACAATCTAAAGTTCATTAGTGGCGATAAAGGGTGGGAGGCAGATAGGACAGAATAGTTAATGGAAAGGAAAATCAGCATTAATTAGGTATAGGCTTGTATGGCCCAGTAGTGCAATTGATGAAAAGAAATAGTGAAAATGTCAGTTGTCAAAAGTAATATGATAGCTGTATTCAGAACAAATGATTTAAAAAAGTATGTGTGTAGGGGTTGGGCGGGGGGCAGTGCTATCTTCTGAGACTGTTTATGTATAACCAAAACCTTTACATGAGTAATTTCCTTGGTTCAGAGTTTGAGGGTCATGGTTTCATGAGTATCCCAGTTACTCATCCTAATAATGTATTTTGCTTCCGCTCTGTTTTGCTCACTGTGTAGTGCCTGAGGTCTTAAAAGCTGGTAAGCAGCCATTCAATATCTGATCATGGGTCTCCATTCTCCTGGAGCAACTGAAGAGAGTCAGAACCAGGGACAGGATAGGGAAATGCTTGTTCCTACAGTACAGTGTCTGGTAATATCTATGAGCAACCGTCTCTTTTGCCATGAGAACAGAAGGAAGAACTGGATAACGCCTAGCTCTCATTCCCGCGCAATTTGATCCATAGAAGGACTTCTATAGAAGTCCTTATCAAGAGGGAGGAAATGAAGGAAAGAGGGACAAATGTACATGTAACTTCAGACTTGACTCCAGGATTCCAGACTTCGTGGAGTCATAGGGACTAGATAAACTCTCTGAAATGATCGTCTCGAGATAATCTTTAAAACTTAGACTACCACATATCCCTGAAGTCTTGACAAAGACCAAACAATAGTATTGCTAAACTAGTAAAAAACAAAACAAAACAAAAAAACCTTTCAGTGTGATGCTTTTACACACTATCTATATAGGAGGATAAAAGTGGCCAAACGACGGAACGGGACCCCTCAGGGGTAGTGCGAGCCTGTGAACAGAGTGGGACAATCAGAAGTGGGGCATGCGAATGACTGTCAAGCCCCAAGAATGTAATCAATAGGAAGCACTTGGTTGTGTCGACACAGATAAGCTGGTATCTGATTTGCTTCATATATTCTCACCAACCGAATACATCGTTTACATTAGTTTTCTTATCCTCCAAGAAAGGGGAAGGGGATATGCAGAAAGAGGAGGAGGAGGAGGAGGAAGAATCCACCTACCTGCTACTGCTACTTTTGCTGTCCGGCTAATAATGGAGCCAGTCTCTCCTAGGGAGGCCTCACACTGGTAGAGTCCCTCGTCTGGCTTGTGGTGTCTGGAGTGCAGAACATTTTGTATCAACAGAGACCCATTGGGTAGTTGCTGCTTCCTTTCCTCCATTCCCATGGCTAGGTGGATGCCGTCTTTCTTCCACCTGATGATTGGGACTCCTTGGTCAGACTCTGCCGAACAGTTGAGGAGGACATTGCCTCCCCGCATCGTGATGGCATCGGAAGGTTCCACCAGGAAATGCAGAGATGTGAAAGCTTTAATCTGGAAACCTGCAACAGAAAAGCACAGGAAGTGTTTCCACCTGTTTGAACTGGGCTCCAGCTACAATTCCTTACAGTGTTCTTTACCAACACTCTTAAACAAGCAAGGGGCTCTGGAAAATGTCCAAGAACAAATGCAAGTTAAATCAGTGACATCGCATTAGAAAGAGGAACATGCCAAGTTGAGAGGACCCAGTGAGGAAACAACTGGCTGTGGGTTGACCTGTATACTCTGAGTCGAGCACTGGAACCCCCTCAGGGGGAGTAGAGGATCTCTAAGGGGGCAGACGCCAGGTCTTTGCTCTGATAGGTTCTAACTGTAGACCTTCCACTTGGCAGCTGAGCACTTGACCATGGGGCCACCAGGGCTCCTTGTTCTGAGTATGTGTAAATTGATTCTTCTTTTTAGAATCTACTCAGAGTGTCTTGTTAAAAACAAACAAACCCCAAAAAAAATCAACTCTGTGCAGTGTGGCCAAAGTTATTTAGAAGAAAGCTCTGGTGCATTTACAAATAGGTAAGAAATCCCATCTGCAGAACCAAGTCAATAAAGCTACTACATAAAATCACAGATCCCTGAAGTGTCTTAATTTCCATCGAAATGTTGCTCATGGGCTTGGGAACCTAAGTGAGTATTATAGTTGGATTGTTTTCCCATAAATATAAGTGAACATAAGAAATCCAGAAGAGGAAGAGAAAATCACTAGGGAGTACTGAGGGTGAGGTGCAGGTGTTATGAGATCAAGGATACTCGGCTGGCACTGCAGTGTTTGGCAGAAGGCATGGCAGTTGGATCAAAGACCTTGATGAGGTCTCAGTTGCTCATGGGTCCAACCTATGCTTAGACAGGTAGACCTAAGCTGTTCAAATCAAATTATATTCAATTCCATTTTGAATTATCTCTGGGGCTAGAGATGCTACATTTGCCTGTGGTATCTTATTTTCCATATGTAATAGTTCTTAGAGTCTGACTTAAACGTAGCCACCATTGAATCCCATTTTCTCCTGATTCTATTTTGTGAAAACCTGGAGGAGGGAGAGGCCCATGGAAACGTAAAAAGTGTGCGATTAATTCCCACACACCTCCCTCTTTGTGTTTAGCCTTCCTGTGACTAGGAAAAACAACCCCCAGCTTCATTGGTTTGCCTAATTTTTCCTCCAGGAAACTCAGTCAGTGTTCTCTCACACAATTTTCCTCTAGTTCATGAATGCTTCCTCCACAACACTATCATGATCTCAATTCTACCTTACAAATCCAGCTGGACCGGAGGATGTACACTGGTACAGATTGGAACTGGAAACACAGGGAATCCAGGGCGGATGATCCCTTCAGGATCAGTGGTGAGGGTAGCGATACCAGGAGGGTGAAGGGAGGGTGGGGTAGAAAGTGGGAACCAATCACAAGGATCTACATGTAACCTCCTCCCTGGGGGACAGACAGCAGAGAAGTGGGTGAAGGGAGACGTCAGATGGTGTAAGATATGACAAAATAATAATAATTTATAAATTTATCAAAGGTTCAAGGGGGGCACGGGGGAGGGAGGGGAAAATGAGGAGCTGATACCAAGGGCTCAAGTAGAAAACAAATATTTTGAGAATGATGATGGCAAAATATGTACAAAAGTGCTTGACACAATTGATGGATGTATAGATTGTGATAAGAGTTGTATGAGCCCCCAACAAAATGATTTAGAAAAAAAGAAGACCAACAGCTAGAAGGCACAGCATAAATATTCTCATAAGAAATTGACCTCTCTGTCTAAAGAAGTTAGGCTGGATGAATAATCTGTAGGAAAAAACAACGGGACTAACAGTTCAGGGGGACATGGGAGAGGGGGATGGGGGGAAAGGAAGTGGTGTTAATAAACCCAGGGATGAGGGAACAACAGGTGATCCAAATTGGTGGTGAGGTGGGTGCAGAAGGCCTGGTAGGGCAAGATCAAGGGGAATGTAACAATGAGGAATTGGTGAAACCCTGGTGGAGACTGAGCATGATAGTGGG